GAAAAAAAAAGGAAGAAAAAAAATTAAAAAGAAAAAAAAAAGTATACAAAAAAAAAAGAAAAAAGAGAAGAAGAAAACCAAGCAAGTTTCGCACTTCTGCCAGGATCACGGATGAAAGCAAAAAGCGCACATGCTAACGAGGACTGTTCATGTTTCAGGTGCTCTTTCCTTTTCAGATCCAACACGCACGCAGAAAGGTGACTGCTGTTCTGTGGTGTGGTCTATCCAAACACTAGCTTCTGTCTGTTCAGTCCCTACATTAATGCTCCATAATGGGATAATGGTACCTTCTTTTTTTTTTTTAATTGTTATAAACCTTCATCTTTTCATAAATGCTGCTACCTTTTCCTCATCAGTTTTGTTGGTTGAAAAAGACATTCAACGTTTAAATGTGAAGCAGAGACTGAAAATGCCATATAGGGTTTGTTGGGAGCTTGATTGGCTGAAATTGCACAGATTTCTCAGAGTAAGCTGTAAATAAATGTCAGGTCGATGTTACAGAGGGAGCCAGAGGCTTGAGGGTGTGTGAATGGGTGTGTGTGTGTTTGGGTGAGTGTGTGTGTGTGCATGGGGATGTCCGCAGTGAGACTGTAGGTGACCTGTCCTGCCTTTTCATTAGGGGTGAGCCTGAATAAGTCCCCAAAGCCAGACACCCTGGGGACATCAGGGCAGCCATGACCTGGGCTTGTGCCTTGGGCTCATTGCTGATGGTCGCATGCCATGCTGGTATATGGGGGGATCAAAGCCTCAGCACCCAGACAAGGGAGAGTGGGTATTGCAATCATTGCTAACAGAGTCAGTTGTTTAGTCCCAGAATTGTGGCACAACGTGTGACCTTTCAGGATTTCTCATAGATTGGTTTGTCTGTCTAGAGTTCAAATAAACTCTGGAGCTGAAATTAAGTGGGAAATAAGCCTCAGATATTCTGTAGAAATCTTACCTTCCTTTTAAGGGTACACTACACCTCATGCTCATAATAAGATTTTATTCCTGCTGATGGGAAGCAGTCTGATGTGTTACGCATATGGATTTTCCTCTATTCTCCCAGCCTTCCCAGTGCTTTACAGGGCCTGTCTGCCCTGACCTTGAATGGGGAGATTCCTGCTGTGATAGGAGCAGGCCGGACCTCCCCCAGTTACTCAGTAACTTGCCCTGGGTGGTCCCATCCTGCAGACGTGGTGGGCAGTGCCCCTGAGCACAGGCTGCACCCTGTCCTCCCCCATCTGCAGCATGGGAACGAGTGCTGCTTTGAGCTCCAAAGGCATATTTCGGAGTGATTTTTCGATCTGTTTTATCCTTGTAGATGTACTGAGGTGAAGTTTGCAGTTCTTCAAGAGGTTCTGTTTAAAAATGAGCCAAAACATGGAAGCAATGTTTCTGTGGGTGTGATCTAGGAGTGTTACACGACTGATTGGGTACAGACAGGATCAGTTATTTCAACCTGCATTGAGTCTCTTCTGCTTCAAATGTAGAGGTTGTTTGTACTAAGCCTTTGTAATTGACTTATAGGGAAATTGCAATGTAATTATGAAATGCAAACATCATCTGCGTAACTAAAATCTCCTCCCCATAGAGCAAAGCACAGCTGTATTCCCGTTCCTTTTCAAATTAGTGACAATTGATGTTGAACCACAGCTCCCCATGATCAGAGGTTACAACCTTGCAAAAGAATTTCCTGGAAATTGTTGCCACCCTTGCTGGGAACTGCCATGCCTGTCCTGCAGCACCAGGGCTTGGTGTAGGTGAGGCCTCTGTGCTTGAGTTCCTGCTTCAGACAGAGGGCCTGAAGGGCCCTGGTGTGCCTGCACTGCTGCCTGAGGGAACTGGCCTGAGGTTGGGCAGTCTGTAGTCTCATCTGTGCTGTTGTTCAGTTTTGTTGTCTCCTATGGTCCTGAGGGTTTCCCACTCTCTTAGTGAATCTCTCCAGTGATTGGGTAGTTGTGGCCCAGAACGTGAAGCTGTGAGCAGTGTGTCATTGAGCATAGACAGTGCATTGAGCTCCTGTGGCAGGAGCTTTTGGGGATTAAGCCAGCTACTCTGCTCCTTTTCTTTAAATGAGGTTCCTATCATATTGATGCTTCAGTTGGCATCACTACAGCTGGGCCTTTTGCTTTCAAAGCATTGGGAACGCACAGATGTTGTTTCAGAGTGAAGCCCTGCCCTTGTTCTCAACCTCCTTCCTCTCAGGCTCACCAAACCTGGATGTTAACATGGCTTTGTAGGGGAAAAATCCTATGTGCGCCCAGCCCTGAGGAGCCCGACAGCAGCTCTGTGCTCCCCAGCCTGTCTGTGTGCTCCGGGTGGGCGCAGGCTGCTGTGTGTGCAGGGGACAGGTCCTGGTGTCCCGAGGCAAGGCCTGCAGCTTGGGTCCTTTCAGGGCGTTTGGAGTAGCACCAAAGGGATTTGGATGCCAAAGGCCTTCAGCACCAGAGTAGCTTGGGTGCTTCTGAAACTGCCTGTAACCCATTGCTCCGTAGGATCCCAGCTGGATAAGTGTTGGCTTCTCTTTCCTTCCTCCCCCTGCAGCTTCTCTGAGAGCCGCCCCATCCCTGATGGGTTCTGGTGATGGTTCCCAGGGGCTGAGGAGCTGCAGGTGCAGGTGGAGAAGGCAGCCCATAAAGATGTTTTCTGACCCCCAGGTGCTTTGCCTTATGCTCAGACAGGGCTGGGGTGGGAGGAGGACACTGAAGGAGCAGAGTGCTCTTGGTGCAGCTCCTGGGCCAGCCCCAGCATTCACCATCATCATGGGTGTGGAAATGTTGGCGAGGGCTGAGCAGAACCCTGCCCTGGACGCTGCTTACCATTTACTGGAGTCATTCTGTTCACTGTCCCAATTATTTCTTCCGCTTCAATCAAACCCTAAAACAAAATAGAGAGGGATGTTGGCTGTGCTCCCTACAGAACTGCATCTCACTGCAGTCTCTGCTGGAGTGTGCAGGGCTCACCCAAGTGGGGTGCATGCAGGGCCCCGCTGTGCTGCCTGGGGCTGCCATGGCCGTGCAGCACTCACAGCGTTGTGGGTCCCACAGGGGTCCCAAGCAGTGGCTGTGGAGTCAGGAGGGGACGGGGCTCATCTTGCAGATATTTGTATTGTATAGAGCAGCTTATTTCTACAGACAAACATTTTTAAACTCCAACAAAGTATGCAGTAGTTTCAGTTCCGGTTTTTGTGACTTTTTTCAGGGATCATTTCAGTGCATTTCTGTATAAAATAAAAATTTAAGGAAAAAAAAAAGGATTTTGAAGTCTATTAAAAAAAAAGCATCTTCTGTACATAGGCAAACAAGAATCTTCTCTTCAAACACTGTTTCTTGTAGAAACATGTTGAAATTTTTTTGCTGATTTCTTTGTACTTCAAGAGCATGTAAATAATTTATTAAAAGTGACTATTGTAATTTGGAGTTCTTTTTAAACAGATCCCAGCTCTGTTTCATGGCAAGGAGATGGGGAGGAAGAAGGACTGAGGATAGCAAAGGAGCTGGTGGCATTTACAGCTTGTGTCAAGCTTTGTATAATGTAAATTCTGTACAAATATGGGGGTTTTGTTTTTGGCTTCTTTTTTTTTTTTTTTTTGTCGAATAAATAGATGGAATTAGCAGCATTAAGAAACTGAAGACAAAAATTTGCCAAGTTGAGGCTTCTTCCTTGCCCCCTCCCCCCAGTCTGAAACCTAATGTGCAAAATCTATTTATTTCAAGCGAGGAAATGTGTACAGTCTATTAATAGACATCCTACAATGTATTTAAGTGAGTTTGCAACTGGATTTTTTTTTTTTTTTCATTTTAATATTTGTTCTTATGAGTTTCCTCCTTAATTGCCACTGTAGTATTTGTTTGAGTGAAAAGAAACACGTTGTGACGGACGCAAAGGGGCAGGTGATGAGGAAGTGGAAGAGCTCCCTGCAGCTCTGGTTCCGTGACAGGTTGTTTTATTTCACGGTGTGAAAATAAAGGGCTTCCTTTAAAAGGGGGCAGGTAAAATGGTTTGCAATAAATGAATTATTATTTTTTTAAGTTCCTTTAAAAAAAAAAAAAATCTCTGCTTTGAAGATTTAGGTTTCTGCTTTTTCTTTTTTTTAAGCAAATTTATAAATTTAGGGATGTTTTGTGCATATAGAATCCGTCACCAGTATGTATCTTGTTTTGAAGAAAGTGTTTTTGTTGTGGATGTGTCATGCTGTATATATTTGTTCATATTTTTGTGAATTGAATACTATGTACCATTGTATTATAGTAACTTTTATAAAGCAAACCATAAATATACTGACTTTTCTTACAGAAAAATTATGTTGTGCTTCATGTGTAGTTGGGGCTTTGTGCTCCTGGACCTGTTCTGGGAACTGGGAGAGCTGAAAACACCCATCATAGCGGGCAGGAACTGATGTTAAGCATTGTCACACAGCTATGGCATGGAACAGGTGTGAGAGCTGGTCAAGTTTTGTACACTTAAAGCTACATTAGCATTAAGACTCTGACACAGCTCTGCATTGAAGTGAAGCCCCCCATGCATGACTGGTGCTGGAGCAGCTGCACCATGTGTGTCTGCATGGGATCCCACCTTTAGAGATAGCAACTTCAATGTTTTCTGGCCTGAGTTTTGGAAAAAGAGATGCCCAAGGCAGAGGTGGATGCAGCAGCTGATAGAGGAGGAAAAGAAGCTTGTGCTGCTGTGTCCTCTCCTAGTTTGTCTCTTGCTGACTACAATGGGGATGGGACCCATGGAGATGGTGCTGCCAGTATTTAACCTGGGGGCTGCTGGATGGGCTCATGCTGTGTCCCAGGAGCCTGAGCCATGGGCTCCACTCAGGGCTTTGCTTCCACACTGGGAAGTGAAGGGAGCTGCTGTGGGTGCTGTGAGGATTCAGATGCATGCCAGCAGGGAGACCCAGGGCCACCAAGCACCCTGAGATGTTCTTCAGATGTTCTGAGGTCTGCAGGTCCTCAGGGAACATTTGAGGTTCACGTAATCATTGAATGGTTGGGTTGGAAAGGACCTGAAAACCCATCCAGCTCCAACCTCTGCCAAGGGCTGGTTGCCCTCCACTGGAGCAGGTTGTCCAGAGCCCCATCCAGCTGGCTGTGGACACCTGCAGGGCTGGGACACGCTCAGCAGGTATTTATTAGCAAGGTGTGTGACACAATGACGGCAGCTCCTGGCGCTGAACCTGGAGCTTCAGCTCCTCCCTGGCCCCCAGTGACCGCAGCGCAGACTCAGCAGCACTCAGCTGTGACAGACGGATTTATTATGGCAGGGGGGAGAGTCCCCATGCAAGGACTGTGACAGCACCCAGAGGGGCGGGCAGTGGCCACAAACCCAGCAATTTCTTTTTGAGACACTGGAGATATTCCACCCTTTGTTAATTCAGGAGTTGACAGGTCCTAGAGCAATGCCACAGGACACTGGTGGGAAAGCCGAAGCCTGTAAATTTGTTCATCTCGTTCTAGAATGCTGTGGCTGCCCTAAAATCATGTAGGATAGAACCTACACGTGTGTCATGAGTCTGTGCTGTGTTTGGGATTTGGGGGCTTGGATGGGGTTGTGCTGGGGTGAAGGCATCGGCCACGTTCCCTCTCCCATGCGAAGCCTGGGCTGGGTCCTTCCTTGCCCATCACAGCTTGGCAGCAACATCCCGTTTGTCACATGTAAGTTTGGGCTGTTGACAAAGCACAGCCAGTTCCCACTTTGTTTGTGATTCAGCTCCTTGTGGCCCAGCGCCACGGGCAGCCCGCACACCGCCTCTACATGCGCTTGGTCTCTCCGTTGGGGCTCAGGACAGTCAGGTTGCCTCGTGCATCCTGGTCAATTTCAATGGCTTCGAACAAGGACTTGAAGTTCCCAGCACCAAAGCCCTGTGGGAGGATGGCATTACCCACATTATGCCCTAAGTGTTCATCACAGCATCGTGGTGCTGGTGGCACTGAGTGCCGTGAGGTCCTCAGGCTGCCACTCAATGCTAAGGCCGCCTCTATTACTTATAGCAGTGAAACCCTCCAACCAACCTGGTGGTTGTGCCGCTGGATGACCTCCAGGAACACCGTGGGTCTGTCCTGAACTGGTTTGGTGAAAATCTGGAGCAAATATCCCTTCTCATCAAAGTCCACCAGGATTTTCAGTTCCTGGAGATAAGCAATAGGGAAACAGCTCTGAGATCCATCTGGGAACAAGGAGATGGCCTCGCATCGCCCTGCTGCACCTGACCCACCTCCAGCTTGTCAATGCTCTCCTTCACTTTGATCTTGGCAGTTTTCAGCCTCTCCCGCAGCAGTTGGTAGTAGCTGGATGGCACGTCCATGAACTGCATGCCACGCTGCTTCAGGTTGGTGATCTGCAAACAGGGAGCTTTGGGTCAGGTACGTGAGGACAGGAGGTACTGAGATGCAACTCAACACTTCCCCATTGCATTGTCCCAAGCAGTGCACAAGGACCTGTCCCACTCTGTCCCTTTGGGCCCAATGTAGAGTTGGCCACCACACGAGGACTCTAACCATGAGGCATCACCCCCCTGTGACCTGTCCCTGAGTGGGGCTGCCCTGGGGGCACTCACCGCCGAGATGATGTCGGAGGTGTTGAGTGCGATGTGCTGCACTCCGGCCCCTCCGTAGTAATCGATGTATTCCTGCAGGGAAACATCTCACTGCAGTGCTGGCATGGCTGCAGTGCCAGCCCCATCCCGCCTCCTTCACCCCAGCCTTGTGCTGGTGGCGGTGACAGCCCGATCGCTGTGCTCACCTGAATCTGGGATTTCCTCTTGCCGTGTGCCGGTTCGTTGATGGGCATCTTGATGGTCTCCTCGTAGTTGGTGACCACGATGGAGCGCAGGGCGCTGAACTCGGTGTGCAGCTGCTTGTCATCCACCGACCAGAAGCGGTGGAAGAGGAGGTTCTTCTGGTACCTGCCCACCCACAACGGCCATGTTGGAGCCCCTCGCACTAATGAACCTCCGCTCTGTGCTAATTGCCCTCGGCCTCCTCCCAGCCAGCCCTGCTCTCACCAGTCTGCCACCGGCACCATCTGGAGGTCGGGTTGGTTCCCCACCACGTGGTCCACAAAGCTCAGCTTGGCGCTCGGCCTGCAGAGACACGGGGCAGCGCTCAGCCCTGATGGCAGTTGGGTGGTGGGATTCATCCCCACATTGGGACCTTGTGCTACTCACAGCCTGGGCAGCAGTGGGTCTCTGAAGAGGGGCGCATGGTACCCAGGCAGGAAGAGCCCTTTGTAGTTGAGCTTCTCCACCAAGGTGTGCGTTGTGTCACCGTACTGTGGAGGGGAGGAAGAGGCTCTGTGCCCATTGCTGCGATGTACAGACTGCACGGCATGTGGGGGGCTCAGTGCCCTCATCACTCACCGTCTGGATGACAGCGAACTTCACCTTCCCAAACTTGTCCTCTTCCACCCAGGGCTCCTTCACCACCACAGCTCCACGCTCCTTGGCTTTCTGAGCAGAGGAAAGTGCCCGTCCTGCCACGTGCCCCCAGGCCCTTCCCACACCAATGTGGGGACGTGTGGCCATGATACCCAGCAGCCCCAAAATCGCTCCTTTTCCCCCCAACTCACCATTTCAGAGCACCCGCTGTACCTCGCACGCGCTGCCTACCTGTACGATGAAGTCACAGTCCTCCACCTCGAAGGCCACGTCCTTCACACCATCCCCGTGCTTCACCATGTGCTCACCCATCTCTGCCGGCAGTGACGTCAGCGGGGACACCGCAGAGCGCCCACACCCCCGGCCCCAGACCTACAGACCTACAGACCTACAGACCTACAGACCTACAGACCTACCCTCATTGCCCGGATTGAGCGCCGACGAGAGGACGAAAATGATCTGGGGTGGAAGAGGATGGAAAGAAGGGTTGGTGATGGGAGGAATGATCCCACCACCGGTGCTCAGCGTATCCCGCAGCGTTGCACACCTTGTCCTGCTTGATGACGTGTGACACCACCTCCCTGCTGCCGGTCTCCAACCCGCGGTAGGCCAGCTCCTCGAAGCCCAGCTTGTTGCAGTAGTACGAGGCGGCCTGCGGCACAGCACGGCGTGTGCATGGCTTACGGTGTGCGTGGGGGGAACTGGCTGCTCCCAGCACAGCCTTTCACCCCGCTCTGTGTGCGGCGGAGCGTGACACGTTTTTGCTTTCCCTTTGCATTTTTGCCCCATGCACACCCCCGACATCCACCCCCCACCTTGCGCAAGGGCTCAAGGCCGTGGCCCCAGGCCAGGGCTGCTGTCAGCGCGCGCACACACACACACACACACACACACACACACTCGGCCTTGCCATCCCCCAGCAGCCAACAGCCATCACTGCCACCCCTGCAGCCTCCTACCTGCTTGGCATTGCCCACCCAGAAGGTGATGGAGTGGAAGTGGATGAAGCGGCCTCGCTGGTGCTAAAGGGAAGAGGAAAAGAAGTTGTATGTGCTGCAATTCCTGTGGGTTGTGATTCCTTTGGGTACAGTTCCTCCAAATATAATTCTTCCCAATGCAATTCCTGCAAGTGCACCCCAGTGACATGGATGAAGCCCTGGCCCCCTGCCCTGATGATTTTTTGTAGTGTTTTGCATGCAGGCTGTTTTGTACACAGGGCACAGCGTTGGCTCCGGCTGCATGGAGCAAAGTGGCTGCAAAGCACCCAGGTATCAGCCTAGAAGTGAGCCCAGGGGTGTCCGGTCCTATAGAAACGTGCAGTGGGAGGTTTGGGTTTGGGGTTTGGGATTTGGATCACAGAGAAGGAGATAGGAGATGGCAGCTGCAGCCCAACCCTGCTGCATGCCCTCATTAACCCTGCAGCATTAACGATTCACCTGGCAGCAAAGCACCCAGCGCTGCTCCACCACCACGCCGGGAGCACCGCGGGGCAGCCATGGGGCTCCCAGTGCTGAGCACAGGATGGAATTCCCCCCCGGAGCAGGGAGCAGGGAGGCACTCACCTTTTCCCCTTTGTCCGTGTACGTCGTCTGCAAGAGAAGTGGGAGAAGCAGTGAGCGGGGTGCGAGGCTGAGGGGAAACGCAGGGAATTTCCCCCACAAATGTGCAGCTCTGTGCCTGCTCCCCAGCCCTCACCATGCTGTGACCCTGCAATGTGGCAGCAGCAAAGAGAGCGCGACCCTGAGCGCGGGGCTGATAAAGGGCAAAGGTGCTCCTCCTCCACCCCACCCCATCCCGAGGGCACTGGACACTGGACAACCCCGGCGCTGGGGACAGCAGCGGTGGCAGCGGGACAGGTGGGCGGTGGCACCGTGTCACCCATTGCACAGCCAAAGTCGTCCCACGGCAACGACACTGCTGTCACTCGTGGGATGGCACAGCTGCGTGACCCCATACAATGCACAGCCGTACCGCTGTCACTCTGTGGCAGTGACACTGCTGTGTCACCCGTGGCACCGCCACCGCCCTGCACGGATGTGTCATGTCCCAAAGCGATGGCACCGCTGCGTCAACCCCCCGGAGCTGCCGTCCCCACATCACCCTATGGCAACGGCGCAGCTGCGTCACCCCGCGGCACCGCCACGACACCCGTGGCACCGCCACCCCGCCGTCACCCCACGCCACCAATAACCTCGGCCGCCCCACGCGCTGCCCCTGGCCCCGCCCCCAGCGCCGAGGCCCCGCCCCCTCGCGCTCTGGCCCCGCCCCGACGTTCTCACCTCCGAGTGCGGCACTTCCGGTCCCGCCCCCGCACGTTCCGTGACGCACTTCCTGCCGCCGCAGCGCGGTGCGGTGCCGCCGCCATGTCGGAGGAGGTGCCGGGCCGCGCCATGACGCTGAGCGAGGTGCAGCAGTTGGTGCGGCGCAAGGACGAGCTGGAGGCGCAGATCCGGGCCTGCTACCAGCTGCTGGAGGACGTGAGCGGGGCGCGGGGCCGGGCGCGGGGCTCGGGGCGCTGCCGGCGGCCTCACCGCGGCCTTTCTCCCCTCAGCAAAAGGGCGTGGGCATGGACGGGCCGCTGGTGGACGCCGAGGGCTTCCCCCGGGCCGACATCGACCTGTATCAAGTGCGCACCGCGCGGCACAGCATCGCCTGTGAGTGGGGCCGGGCTGTTCGGCGTTGGCCGTGGGCGGGAAGCGGCGTGCGGGTCTCCTCGGGCTGCGAAGAGGGGCTGAGGAAGAACCTGTCGCCGAAAGGAAGG